TTTCCCTCCGAGACTTGCCGCGCCCTGTAATTCAATCGTCGTTCCACGGAAGATACGCCTATAATTTTTCTTTCTTTTCTTTTTTTTTAACAAAAAAGATCGAAAGCAACCTCGAAAATCCAGAAATATCGAAAGATAGTAAAACGAAGCGAAAAAGAAGAAGAAGAAGAAGAGAAAGAAAAAACTTAAATAACGATTATCCAACGTAATCGGCAAGTATCTAATAGAAACTTTCGTAACTTTCGTTGCCAATCGCGAAACCGTAATCCCCCCTCTCTTTTCGACCGTTGCGATATCTCCTTTGTCGAGTGGAGGGGAGGCGAAAGAGAGAGAAAGAGGATCGAAGGATCCATTCGTCAGGAGAATTTCTTTCGAGGAAGTAGACGCAGCACGAGTCACGGGCAAATAAGGAGAGGGAGCGCGACGAGTGTTTGAGCAACGGACACTTCTCCATTCCCCCACTCCTCCTTTGGACTTCTTTCCCAACTTCTTTCTTACGGGGACACGTAGGCTTCGAAGAGACAAGAATTTAGTGGAGTGGTTTAGTCGGGAATATAGGGAAAGATAGATGAGGTTAGGGCGAGTGGAGGAAACTGTTTCGTGGAGGAAAAGTATTACTCGAATATGCGCGGATATTGAATGTCTGTAATGTGAATCAGCCAAGTCAAGATCAATAAACGATACGTTTATTCAACACTGGATTCTTTTATTATAAAATTATAAGCGCGATACGTGAAATTAAATGAACGCTTATTTTTCAGAAAGCGTTTATATATTTATATATGTAAAATCGTAGATTTCTCAACGTGTTATTTTATTTATGATTCGTAGCAGTATATTTTTGGAAACAACTATTTTCAATGTTTAAAAGATATAATAAAATTTTAGAAAGTAATTACGGCTCGACGAATTCGAGGAAATTTTGAAGATTTGGTTAATCGGAAAAAACGTTGCCAAATTTCTTCAAAAAAAGAAACTTTCTTACATACATATTTATTAATATTCTGTATTATTATTTTGTACGTATTGATTTGTTTATGATATAAGCTGTGCTTCGTCTTTATTTCCATTTATTTCTTCTTTTTTTTGTTTTAATTAACGAGTCTGACGCGCCTGTCATGAATATCGATCTTTGTTTCATTTTTTTTGTAAGGATGTTTAAAATTACTTATTTACATTAACTTTACTTACCAAATTATTAACGCGTCGATGAAATTTTTGAATGAAAATTTCTACCTTCTTTCTTCTTCTTTTTCCTCGATCAATTTCCTCATTGTTTCCGTGGCAATTTTGTTTTAGAAACGCGGTGCGATTTCTAAAGATGTGGTGGAGAGTTTCTCAGGCATTGACGTGAAATTTTTGTGAAATTTGTATTATTATCGTCTTTCTTTTTCCCTTTCTTTCTTTCTTTCTTTTCATTTATGCGTAAAAGAGAATTTTTACATAAAAATAATCGTTCTTTCTTTACAAAACTCAAATTACATTTATTTCGCGCGAAATAAAAGGAATTCCCGCGAGTACGTGTTTCAACTTTTTTTCTTCCGATAAAATCGTAAACAAAATCTTATTTATCTTCGATAGAGAGATGCTTACAATGAGAAAAAAAAAAGAAATTGTACGTACTCATCGGTCTATAAACGTGATCAAACGTGATTAAAGCAATTTTCTCATATTATCTCATACATGTTCGAATTGATTAAAAACTGTCATACGCTTTTTATCATTCATTGCCAACTCCGTATCGTCTAATTACACGCTTCGCGTAAGAAATTTCAAAGAACAACGTCGTTCCATCCTCTTTCATCTTTTGACAGACCTTTCGAATTTCAAAAATCGTGTCCATCCATGAAACGATCGTTCGAAATAAAATAAAAATGTTCGAAGAAGCGCAGTTACTAGCACTTCCGCTAGATGGCTCGTTAGATCGTCGCGTTTCGCGCTTGCGGATTCAAGATCCGTTAGAATATAAGTTTAATCAGAGTCCATTCGAACTTAGTCGATCGTGGATCCTCTTTGCGGCCCGTTGTCGAATCGCTCTTCTTAAAATTCACCCATTAATTGACATTCCTTCGAAAGAATATGCTTTTTCGATTATTTTTCCTCCTCCAAAATATTTCATATTCGCACGTAGGATCGAAATTATATCGAGGAAATATCGAGAATATATAAGAATCACAAAATTTCCTTCTCCATATAATCTAATCGCATCGCCAAATCCAAAACCAATAATCTTAGTATCGATCGTAATTATTAATTATCTCGAGTTCAACTTGAAATCCATCCATATCCATAGAAAAAGAAAGAGAGACTAAAATCTCTCTCGAGCCACAGAAACAGATTTTTCTGTTATTCGCTATGTTATCGCGAAGCGTGTTTCAACTCGGCTAATGGTTGATCAACATACGCATGCGCCAGACGCTGGAATATTCCCTTAGCAGAATCGTAATCTTATTGGACGATCTTGGCTCGAGAGGAAAGGTTTAACGATTTCGCGATCTCTATTTATCGCGGGTTTAGCCGCCGCATTAAAAACGTGCACAGTGCTCGAGAAAGATGTTCAGTGGTCGCGTTTACGTCTCACAATTCGAGTTGCTTCGAAACAGGGTATTTATAACTTCTAAACACGCTTGTGCTTTCAATCACACTTTGGAATCAAACAACGTTATACAGAATATAATAATACGATATAATTGTACGATAATAATAACCGTTAATACGTCTTCTTCTCTTATTTTTCGTCATTTTAAGGGAAAAAATCTGTTCAAATTAATCTAAATAAACAAAAAAAACAACCAGGTATACCTTTGTCTGTCCGTTGTTGGAAAAAAAGTGAACTATCTTTCTTCGGCCAACTTTATTCGCTGTCAATATTCGGAACAAGCGTTTCCAAATTGATTTGCCATTTTTTTCTTTTTTATCATCGAGAAATCTCGTGAGAAACGAACGATAGAAACGAAATATCGACGCTACGTTTCCAGTGAGAAAGATACTCGATATGCGATAACTCATACAATACAGACTGTAGTTGCGAAAGGATTAACGAAGAATGGAAATTTTTATTGGAGGAGGAATCGAGGGATACTGTTACGCACGATCAATGGAGAAGACGAAGCGTTCCTTCTTTCGACCAGTTGGGGATATATTTTTCAGCCGCGATACTTGCTCTATTTTCTTCTTCTGCTTGCTTGCTTTATATCGGATCGGTGGAATAGGAGAAAGTTGGGAACAGCGATAAATCGAAGGTCTGAGGGATTTTTACGGAAGCCGATAAGTCGAGAGTCGAGATTGGACAGAGAGAAAGAGAGACGAAGATCGTCGGATCGGTTTCGTCCGACGCAAGCGTATCTTTGTTATTTGAGAGTGGAATAATTATATATAATTTATTTTTAATTTCTAAATCTCCATATTTGAGAATGAACGAATTGACAGGGTAGCGTCTTTGATTTAAGAAAAATTATATATAAATTATTTTAAATTTCTACTGATATTTATCTAAAAACGAAAGAAGAGAAAAGATAAAGATTTTTAAAGTCTTTAATCTCGAATAGAAAAATTATATATTTTAAATTTCTAAATATTTCTTTAGATATTTTTGAGAACGAAGGGATCGATGGATAGGATAGGATAATCGAAAGAAAAAGAGAGAGGGAGAAAAGATAAATCGCTATTTTCTGTTCTCATGCCGTTTAATAATAATAATAGTCTTGGTATCGTTATTCATAAAAAATACTTACAAGTATTCGAGTTGGTTAACTTACGCATCGAGTCAACGAGAGGTTGCCGCTGTGCCCCTCGCCGCGAGAAGGAACACCGTCGAGAAAAGCAACGACGAACGTACAACAGTTCGAGTATGTTCGCGATGACACGAAAATACGACGCCTGGCTCCATCTCTAAGCGAACGACAACGTTAATTCTGAACGAAATAAATCGAACGACGACCCCAATCGAGCCCGATGATTCGTTCGTTCTTGAAATGTCAACTACTACGACGAAAGAAAGGAAGATCTGGTGGAAAAAATGTCGCTGGATCATCAGGGTGTGCGCGTATCGTGTACGGGAAATTAGATCCGTCAAATTTTCATCGTGGTTTATTAAAACATTATCGACAGAACGGTCCATAACAGAAACGGAAGAAACGGATAAAAAGGAATAACTCCCGAAGCGACGTGCGCGCCGATTCCATCAACCGCGCTACGTCAATTTTCGTCAAATCGAGTATTCAGAAGTGTCTTCGCGCAAATGTTTGCCACGCTTGTCTCACAACTGTTTTCAGCGAAAATGAAACTTCGCCCTCGATTCGAAACCCGAAAATGAAAATTGAAATCGCAAATCGAAGGATTCGAACGATTCCCTCTTTTTTTCCTCGTTCGAGAAAAAATACACACAAGTATAATACACACGTGTCAATGGATATCTATATTTTCCTTTCGTGGTTTAAAAATTTGCTAAAAAGAAGGTCGGTATACGAATATTTACGAACAGGGATCTCGATGATCTTTCTAATGCGTCCTCAAGGTCATCGTTGTTTCGTTAAACTCAAATGCGAATAGAACGCCGTGTTGTATCGAATAAATATTTCTCTCTTATCAAGACATTGTTTTCGCTTCGAATCGAACAAAAACTTCGATCGTACTTCGAGGAAGAAAAATCATCGAGTGATATATTCGGCTTGGCTACGAATAATCGGCCAAAAACGTTAGAATATTTATATAGGGATATTTTTTCTAACGTCCAAAAAAAAAAAAAAAAATAAAAGAAAAAAAAACAACACGACCGGCAATATTTTTCCATGCAACGGAAGACGGACAGGCTCTCGAGAAATTCGAGAACGCGCTCGCGCGCGGAGATAAGCTCGAAAACGTTTCAACGATAAAATACATATATTACACTGTATGTACACGTATCGCGGTTTCGAGAGGGAAGGGACGTATAACTCGCCGGACTATCGCGGCTATTTTTTTTTTTTTTTGTCACGGCGACGTGCCGATCGAACCGATCGTTTTTTTCTCCCCTCCCCTCCCCTCCCTTCCCCTCCGGATTTTTGCGACGCTCGAGAATTCGAGACATCCCCCTCCACGAACGAAAATATTTTCACGTTCACGGATTTTCGATCATTTTTTTCAAATCCGCGCGGGATTTTCAAAATCCCTGACGATTTTTCCTTTCTCCTTTCTTCCCTTTTTTTTTTCGTTTGTTTCGCGCAGGGACAAAAAAAAATGCTCAATACACGGATGACGGATCGAATCCACCTCCTCTCTTTCGACGTTCGTTTCATCTTGAATACCACTTTATATCCTTTCGAACGTCGTGTCAACGATAAAAAAAGAAAAAAACGAAAGTTTCTTCTCTCAAAAGAACTCGATCACCATCGTCTCGATGATACATGAACACGGTTAGGGAACAAAATATTCATTTCCAAATGCGTACGTATAAAAACGCGTGTACGTTGAGCGAAACAACAACGCCACTCGAAGAAAAAGGACGAATCGAAGGCAAGTTGGAAGAAGCCAACAAGAACAACAAGAAAACAAGGAAGAAAAAGGTTTTCCCTTCCCTTCCTGGACACCAATATCTCCTCCCTCCTCCTCCACGTATTTCGACTCGAGTCACCTGGAGGATCCAGGTGAAGGACGAGATTCTCGCCAACTCTCCTCGCCTCGTTGACGGTGATCGATCGCTACGAGCCTCGAGCATTCCCCTCCTGCTCCTCCTCGTCCTCGTTCCGTGGAAGCATGGTCGCGAGCTCGTACTGAAGGCTTCTCGGTATATCGAGTTGGAACGCCTGTCGATCGTGGGTGAGGCGCCGCTTGATGGCCCTCAGGGAGAGCTCGCGGAGAGTGTAGACGGGCAGCGTGATGTACACGCTGGTCCTCTCGTGCCTTTGGGGCAGCTCGCTTCGCCGGAGGTCGCGATACCTGGCGAACCAAGGCTCCGGGAAGAACACGTCCCTTTGGTTCACCGTGTACCTGGAAGAAACCGTGCTGCGTCCATCCTCGTTTCGTTCGCCTATTCTCCATCCGAACGAACGAATAGAGGAGGGGGAAGAGAGATTTCGATCGATCCAATTCACGCGAAATATACTTATTTTTCACCTTCTCTTACTACACCTCAGTTTCTTCTTAACGAATAGAAATAATTTCGTTATTTAACACGTTCGTCGGCCAGCGTGATTCAATTGAGCTTCTCACGGGACCGAAATGTTAGTGTCGGAAAGTTTTAGTATTTTTATTTTGTATATTTTAAAATAAAATTCTTAGTTTTCGTTAATCATCTGTAATATCAAGATCAGTTGTTTTCAATGCTTCTCTACTTCTACTTCTTCGCTCCCTGCTTCGCCTGTTTCAACCGTTCGAAGACTTTTCAAAATCGATCTTAAGTATTCCGGTGGTAAATATAAGCTTCTAATAGGTTGCTGTCCAACTTCGACTCGGTTCTGTATTATCGATAGAAATTCGTAACAACACTCTCCTACGTCACCGCATACGATATAATTTTAGATTTAAAGATTCGCCAACGGATCATCATACTTGTCTTCTGCGATTCCAATGTATTCCACTAAATTCCTTTTAAAATTCCGCTTTTCCACTCGTACGTCGCCATCCTACATTTTATTATTATACGTACATTTACTAATGTACAAATATACGTATTTACATTAGTTAATATATGTATAATAGTACTCGGTCGGTAACCTTCTTAAATATAAATACGATTCTAAATCTCATTTTTCTTGAACAAAAAAACGTCACCTATATTTGGACGACGAACGTGTTAATAACGAAAAATCGAGCTCGTCCTCGATTTTTATCGCCACGGATGGATCGCGATCACTATCCAACTCGACGTAAAAAGAATCTAAACACCATTCGACGATATATTCCACGCTTTGTAAGATTAATATAAAGAGCTTGGGAATTTGTTCGTGAATGTTGTCGATGTTTCAAAAAAATCGAACGTAAATAAATATTATCGTGGCAATTCGAGTTACCGTTGGAGCGCAAAGAATGTAATTCATTCCGCAAAATCCAAAAGTAGAAGAGTCTATACAACGATTCGAGGAGGATCTCGCCCTACCTGTCCCTGGTCTCTTGGTCGACGAAGATCCACGGATGGGTGACGAACGTGTCGATATCGAGGCAATCGCCCGGCGAGAGGGCGCCGTAGCTCACCGCCTGGCCCTGGTAATCGATCCAGTAGAGGACCACGTTGTGCAGCGTCCTGTTCACGAACTTAACGAACGATCTGTGCACGTTGTTGATCGAGCGGAGCAGCGGCTCTCCCTCGCGGGCCCCGTCTTCCATTCTTCCTTCCTCCTTCCTCCTCCACCCCCCTGCCGCGCCACCTCCTCTCCTCCTACCCTCGTCTCGCCGCGACAAAGACTGAAAACAGAAAAATCAGAAAGACGGGACGGCGTTAATCGACCACCCACAATTTCTTCGAGCGACAAATCGATTTTCCTCGATTCGAGGAGAGGAAGAGATTTTTTTTTTTTAAATATTTATTATTCGATTCCAGCGCGTGGATCGAGGCGAGGGAGGAGGATTGGCACTCGCGTGAGACTTTTTCCTCGCAGTTTCGAAGTTTTTAACTCTCGTTAAAAAAAACTGATTCGGATGGGAGAAGAGAACTGCACGGGATGATGTTGTTGGAAAATGTTGACGGAGAGAATAAATCCAGCAAAAGTTGAAACGGCCTCGCGAGAATAGAATAATTATTCGTTTAAATAATATCGGGCATTATCTCGAAGCGATCAATCAAACGGATAATGATAATCGAACGTGACATGTGAGAAACTCGTCACACGTGTTTGCATTCTCTTGTTCTGTATATTTATAGAAATTTATTATTCTTATTATCTTATTATCCATTCTTGTTCTATATATATGCATATATGAGAACGTGAATGTGAGAACAAGTTATTGGGATTTATTAGTTCAAGATGAGTTTTTCGTTATCGAGAAATAACGAATAAAAAAAGATGCTTTATTGCTTTGTTATTAAAATATCTCGCGAAACAACGATGTAGATTCCTTAATTATATTCAACATATTTTCTTTCTTCATGTTATGTATCGTATTTATTCGTAATGGAATATGATCACAAAAGAATATGATCTGTTTTTCGTCTCCATTGTTTTTTCGTCTCTTTTTGTCACGATCTAATTAGTTCGAGAACGAATATCGATTTCCCCTCGAGAGAGGAGATAAATTGATCGAGAGCAGAGAATCGAAAAAATTTCTTTCCACATTCACTGACAATCGAATCGAAACGTCGAGACGTTAAAAAAAGAGACGTTTCGGTGAATTTCGATTTCTAATTAAATATAATAACTTCTTGAATATCGATTTTCCCCACGAAACACGAAACGAGATAAATTAATTATTGAGAGCGGGGATCCGAAGATCCAAAAATTTCTCTCCAAGAAGCAACGATTCAAAAATATTATCAAAATACCACGCGTTAATATTCAATGCTTAACATCGAAAAGCGTCATCGAGAGGATTCCAATCGTAAAAGAAGAAATTTGATGAAATTTCGTTCGTGTTGAATTTCTAATTGATCAGAACGAATTCTTAAATATCGACTTCCCATCAAAAGACGAGACGAGATAAATTAATTATTGAGAACGGAGATTTGAAGATTTCTGTCCAAGAAGCAACGATCGATATCGAAATGCACTCGTATGTCGTATATAAATATACGTATAATATAGTTACATTCTAGGGACTTGTTACTCGATCGATAACCTTTTTAAATATAAATACGAGTGCAGATTAATATTCAATGCTCCAGAACATTATACCATTTCGATCCACAGACGACAGAATCTCGAGTCGAGTTCGAAACCCGATAATCTTTCTCATCGAGAGAGTTGCACAGGGAAAAAAAAATTTTGCTATAGCGTTTTCGATTTCTTTATCGATCGAGGAGAAGGCGCTCGGTCGGAAAGGAAGGAAGGTTTCGCGAGGATTCCTCGGTTTTTCAATTAAATTTTCAACGACAAAGGGATGGCGAGCCGTTGTCGGAAAGCGGAAAATCGATTGCTTGCGTATGGGTGGCATTATCAAACAGAAACGCGAGTGTCCTAGCGTTTTCAAGCTTTCTCTCTTTTTTTTTTCACGGGGAAAAGCCGTAATGGAGTTTCGACGTTCTCCGCCATTGTTTTGCCGTTTTATAAGCCGATGAGAGCGCCGACAGAGGGGGGGAGGCGGCGATTTTACACGATACAACATCTACAATTTTGTTATTCGCGGTGATTAAACATCCACTCTCTTCTTTCCATTTTTTTTTTTCTCTTTTAATCGAAGCGATTTCGAGGCATCGAGAATGTTCAGTCGATTAATTAAAAGACGATACTTGATTCCGAATATATATTTTTAACGAGCTTTTGTATGCCTCATTCTTTCGAAACTGAAAATTAAATGCTTTAAAATAAATCCAGGAATAACAGCATATTTTTGGCTTCGTCGAAAAGTTGGCGCGCTATGACATTAGCCTTCCACTTTGACGTTAACTCGAATGAAATTCTCGCTGGATCGAAGACGAAGAAAAAGGAAAAATCAAGCCAAGCTCCGTATTCCGACGGTGAACGATCCACGTAATAATTTCCCCTTCGACAGGTCGTAAAAATATTCTATTCGAGACTCTTTCGTTAAAACTCGTCTCTTTCTTCTGCGTCTGCCCCAATCGAAGACACGACATGAAGGAACGAAAGTGGCGAATCAGGGACGACAGAGAGAGCAAGGACTTTATTCTCTTACATCTATGCCGATTTATCGCTTCGTGAACAACCGAGATTACAACCTGACTAGGATTGCACGAGCTCGCGTAATGAAGATCCTCGTTAATTTCGAACGTCTTCGTGCTAAATTTAATCCGAATGTACCATTCTCACGCTTCGAGAATCGGTCGATAAGTTAGAGAAGAAATTTAATAAAATTGCTTGGACGCAAGCGTAGATGCATAATAAGCGTGCGAAGGATACAAACGAAAGCAATGGTTGAAAGTAAAGTGAAAGAATTAATTCGAATATGCCATTCTCGAAAATCGGCCGATAAGTTAGAGGAATTAAATAAATTTCGTAAGATTGCAAGCGTAATATAATAAAGCGTGAGAAGAATACAAACGAATGCAATGGTGTCGAAAATGGACGGCGAACGAAAAAGAAAAAAAAAAAAAGAATGGCGCGAAAGAAATTAATACGACACGCGGGAAGTGAAAAATGATCGGTCGCAACACGTTCTTCTTGGGAAATGATTCTTTGCGGACGAGTCATAACTAAGGATAGGAGAAGATAAATGAACGAAGTTAGGGAAGATGAGAAATAATTGTGCGGCGTAATACAACTCGAAAGAAATTCCATGATCTATTCTCTCGTGATTCGATCAATTTTTTTCAACCACCGCTGTTTCGCTTGCACGCGAAAAATTCCTTTACTATTATTCTCAACCGTTTGAAAAAGAAAGAAAAAAAAAATTTCTCGATCGCAAAATATTTCGAACGAATAATTATCAAAGAAAAAAGGATTATTCGTATCGATCGACAATGATTTCGTTATCCTCGTCTTCCATCGTCCACTTTTCCTCCTCCTTCCTTCGCCGATCATGAATTAAACATCTCTCAAATGGCCGATTATTCCGACGCCAGCAGGAGAAATTGCGCCTAAAAGCTACGCGTGTACGTTGCATAACGCGAACTGCAATTACATTCGAGAGAGAGAGAGAGAGCGCGCCAAAGGAGAAAACTTGGAAACGTCCAAGTTAAAGTTATCTGGCGATTGTTTTCCTGGGGTCAGAGGAGGCCAATGTTTACGACCGCGGTCGCGATTCGATCACGGTTCACTCGAGGGATTACGTCGGTGTATCGAACAAGGAATTTATCCAACTTTCTCCCCGAATCTCTCTGTCTGGGTAAAAGCGAATCTTTTGAAAGTAACAGTTATAACACGGCGTATCCTCGAAAATTTTTATTCCAAATCTTTTTTCCTTTTTCCCTTTTCAAGGAGAAAAGAAGAAGACGAATTTCCAAGATCCTTCCAAGCTTTCAAAAATTAACCAGAAAAGCGACGAGAACGTTTTTCGAACTTTCCAATCTTCCAGAACGAATTAAAATCGAATCTCTTTCCCTCTCTCTCCACCGAAGAATATTTGCACAACGCTGTCTCGATTTTCAAAGAAGAAGGGAAAAAATCCGAGTTTCCTAAGGGTGAACGGAATTATTCGTCGAAATTTCCAGGTGAATTCGGAATGCAAACAAGGGAGACGAGGAAAGGGAGGAAGAAAGTTTGGTCGAACCGACGGTGCTGAACGTTTTCATCCGACAGAGATAGTCCGACGATTTCGACTATCGTGGCCTGCGAAATTACAGCCGGAGCCGACGTTGTAATTTCCCCGGTAATTTGCAACCAACTCCTGCGAAATGGCCGTCAGCAACGAGGGGGGGCAACCGGGGCCTCCTTCAAATTGGAAATAACGAACCGTCGAACTTGGCCGGGCGATCTTTCCCGCGCAGGCCGCTTGAACGAAACTTTCTTAACGAACGTGCAATTCGAAACGCGCCGAATCCCACGCCACGTCGAATCCTGCGCGAAAACTTGAAACCGTTTCAGCAATTTTTTCCAAAATTTAGATGCAAATAAGTTCTTTCCCTCCTTTTTTTCACCAAATTCAAGATTTTATTACGTAAATCTTTCCGCCGATTCTTCTCGCGTCGAACTTTCTCGATGTGTCTGAACGATCGTCGTTTTCCAAATTAACATTTTCGGCTTTGAATCTTTGATACGATTTTTCGCACGTTTCGTAAGATACAGTGGCGCACGAATCATTTCGATAGCTTCGATGACCGATCTTCTAAAGTGCGAAAAATGCGAAAAATAAACAGCGACGCGAATGACGCTTCTCGCACGCCATATTGCTCGAAATGATTGCACAAGACTGGAAACTCTTACAGCGCTCGTCGCGACTCTTCTTGAAAACGAAAAATACTGTTTCAGATGGCGTTACGAGCGACGAAGAAATTCGAACTCGGTCGGATGTTACGATGACGTAGAGAAAATCTTATCGATGTAACATGAAAAATGATACACTCGAAAGTACGGTAAAAAGGGAGTCCATCGTTGCGATCACAGTTCTTTATTAAAGAAAAAGTAACTTAAGAAGTTAAAAATCTCGAATAAAGTCGCTTTAATATGTTTTTGAACGATAAATCACCGAAACTGCTCGAAACTAACTTCATTCGTAACTTCGACTATTAAATTTTCCCTATCGCTGGTTCAAGAGTTTATTTATCAAGCTGTGAGCGATTGGAAATAGATGGAACGAGATGGAAATGGATATTTTCGAGAATAACACGATCCAAAAATGTGTTTCTTATATTTGTC